CGGCCTACCTGCCTTCTCAACATTTTAAAATTCTTTTGTGTCGCATCATCTCCTCCTGGGTCACCTACAGCGTCAATAATAACCTTGCCAATCTCGCAGTAAGTAATAATGGAAAGTGAAAAAGGTCAACAACAAAATGATCGGGATTGCTCAATGTGCCATAATCCCCCTGACGACAAAATGGCGTCTTGCATGAAATGCCACAAACTGTTTCATAGAAGTTGTGCCAATGTCGCCGATAACATAGCTTATAAATGTCCACAATGTTCGGACAATAGGCCAGCCTCACCTGCTCCCAGTGCCACAAGTCGTTGTTCTAATCGGTCTCGAACGTCTCAATCGCGTAGCGTTCAACTACAACTTAAAAAGCTACAAGAGCAGCGAGAACTTGATTCAGCAAGGGATCGCGAATTCTTAAATAAAAAATATCAGCTTCTAGAAGAAGCAGAAGACCTCTGCTCAAATTCATCACAAAACTCCCAATCCGTACGGGATTGGTTAGCAGATACTCAACAAGATATCAGTCGCCAACATGCGACTAATAATGTAGAAAACCAGGCCTATGTTGAAACATCCTACTTGCCCAATCAAACTACGTGTGTTGATTTACCTACAAGACCTGCAAATCAAAATTCATATTCCTCCAACATACCTTGCATTTCTACTGCACATATGCGACAGCAACAAAATTCACAAGGTATAACATCGGTCACCAATGCTGCAGTAAGTTCAACGATAATAAACAGCGCACCAATTAGTGCTTCAGCTGTTACCACTAATCGTGAATATGATCGAACACTGCCTTTCATTCCGACCAATGCCCACCCACCAGCTGCTGTGCCATTTTCATACTTACCTGTATACTCAAACCCCTCAATGCAACCCCCACCTGTTAATTCAAACACAACACAAAATTCTAATTGCTCCAATCAAAATATTCCATTTATTCAAAATGTGCCGATGTCGTCTACAATGCATGTGAATACAAACAATTTTACTTCACCACAATTTAACTCCACACAGCATATACTGCAACAAAGCCATATGACTACAAGGCAATCGGTGCCTAAAGACTTACCTACATTTTCTGGCCAACCAGAAGAATGGCCCATATTTTCCTCCACTTACGACTGGTCCACCACCGCCTGCAACTTCACCGATACGGAAAACCTCATTCGACTCCAAAAGGCACTAAAAGGTAAAGCACTGCAAAGTGTCCAACATATGCTAATACACCCTGCAAACGTTCCTGGTGTCATCGAAGTACTTCGCATGCTGTATGGCCAACCTGAAAAAATATTAAATTCAATAAAAAATAGAATTAGTTTAGCGCCGAAAGTTAATGAAAATAACTTAGAAACACTTACCTCCTTTGCTATTGATGTTCGCAGTTTGATTTCCACTATCACTGCTGGTAACTTGCCAGATGAATTGAATAATTCATTTTTACTCCAGCAATTAGTTCAAAAACTTCCCCCATCTTATCAAATGCAATGGGCGACTATAAAAATGAATCTTAATAACCAAAACAAAAAACCAAATTTGTCCGACTTTGACAATTGGATTTTCAGCCTTGGCATCACTGCAAGCAATATAACAGTTGACCATCCCTGTACAAAGATAACCCAAGCATATAACAAAGATAATATCACAGATAATAAACGAAACAATAACAATAACAACAACAACAATAGCAGCAAAGCAACCGCAAGCAGAAGAGCTTATGTTTACTCTCATAGTGATGAACGTAAGTGTGTCGTTTGCAACAACAACAACAACAACAACTGCAAAGCAGTGAGTGACTGCCCAGTATATCAGTCGCTAGATCGTAGCGAAAAATGGAATGTTGTGAGGAAGAACAAACTATGTAAATACTGTTTATGTTTACATAGTGGTGAGTGTAGGCGCAAGAAAAGGTGCGGTGAAGAGGAGTGCGATTATTTTCACCATCCTTCATTACACCGCTATGATGGAACACATAAACAAACGTCAACTACGAAGAAAACAAATGTAAACAACACCCATGCTGTAGAAGAAGTAGAAGTGATAAACAATGCTCACAGTGCTAGTTCGCAAAACATTTTGTTTAAAATAATACCGATTACTATATACGGCAATGATAAAGAGATTAAAACCCTTGCATTTATCGATGAGGGATCTTCCATCAGCCTTATGGACGAGTCAATTGCTGATCAATTAGGAATAAGTGGTGTGCCAAATCCCTTGTGTTTGCGGTGGACAGGAGGTATGCAAAGGAATGAAAAGAATTCAAGAAAATTAAAAATTCATATTTCAGGAGGAAACAAACAACGTTTGGAAATGAATGTGTGTACAGTGGAGTCATTAAATTTGCCAACACAGACATTGGACTACGAATTATTGTCGCAGCGTTATCGCCACCTGAGAAAATTACCAATAGAAAGCTACACAAATGCAAAGCCGAAATTATTGATTGGTTTAAATCATTTCAAAATGGGAATTTCGACTAAAACTTTTGAGGGTGCTCCACATGAACCAGTGGCTGTTTGTACGAAACTCGGATGGCTTATTTACGGCACAGTAGCAGAACACAATTCACGTAAGCAATTTAATTTTCATATATGTGATTGTTCTGAAAGCGATCAGCAACTGGACGAGTTAGTTAGGAGTTTTTATACTCTCGATAGTGTTGGCATATGTGCTAAAGACCCAATGCTTGCTGAAAGTGAAAAGCGGGCATTAAACTTATTAGATAGTTTTACCCATTATAAAGATAATGGGCATTATGAGGTCCCATTATTATGGAAATTTGACAGCTTCAAGTTGCCAGATAGTTATGACATGGCTTTAAAACGGCTTACGTGTCTTGAGCGAAAATTAAGCCAAAATTTTGAACTTTTTGAAATTTTTAAAAATACAATTTCAAATTATCTGTCTAAGGGCTACATACGCAAATTAGATAAAAATGAAATTCAGCGTGCCGATGGAAAAATTTGGTATCTGCCTATTTTTGCGGTCTTTAATAAAAATAAACCCGGTAAATCGCGAGTCGTTTGGGACGCCGCTGCTAAATCATGTGGCTCATCTTTAAATTCATTTCTGCTAAAAGGCCCTGATATGTTGGCCTCCCTGCCATCAATTCTATTTAAATTTCGCCAAAATGCGGTGGCTGTTTGTGGTGACATCGAGGAGATGTTTCATCAAGTGCACATAAGACCAGATGACCGTGATGTTCAGCGGTTTCTTTGGCGGGATGGTGATCAAAACAAAGCGCCTGATGTTTATGTAATGGATGTCTTGATATTTGGTGCTACATGTGCACCTAGCATTGCACAGTACATTATAAATTTGAATGCCGATAAATTTCAAGATGAATTTCCTTTGGCTGCAAAGGCAATTAAACAAAATCATTACGTTGATGATTTATTGGACTCAGTCAACACGCCACAAGATGCAATAAAACTAATTACGGATGTTTCACATGTACATCGCCAAGGTGGCTTCAATATAAGAAATTGGATTTCTAACAATGTTTTGGTACGGCAAGCCTTCCCAGCACTAAGTTCCACGGCCGTAAAGTGCATAAACTTTAAAAATGAAACGCAAGTTGAAAAAGTTTTGGGAGTTTTTTGGGAGCATCAGGAGGATGCTATAACTTTTAAAATTGCATCATGGCTTTTAGAAAGCAATTTGTTATCCTTTGAAAAGTCTCCAACAAAACGAGAAATGCTGAGGCTTGTTATGTCAATTTATGACCCGCTAGGGTTAATTGGCCATATAATAATGTACGTCAAGGTGCTAATGCAAGACGTATGGCGTTCTAAAATAGATTGGGATGAACAAATTCCCCTTGAATTGATACCAAAGTGGAACCAATGGGTTAAAATTTTACCCGATATACAGAAGATTAAAATTGATCGTTGTTATTTGAAAAAATTTTCAAATTATGATGATGTGGATGTGCAACTGCATACATTTGTGGATGCTAGTAGAGATGGATACGCCGCTGTGAGTTACTTTAGGCTGAAGAAGAATGATGTTATTTGCTGCTCGCTAGTTGGTGCTAAGACTAGGGTTGCACCAATAAAAATTACGTCTGTACCCAGACTTGAGCTGATGGCCGCTCTAATAGGAGCTCGTTTTGCTAAATTTATTATGGAAAACCATGAAATAAAAATTTCTAAAAAATATTTTTGGAGCGACTCACGGACAGTGCTAAGCTGGATTAATTCCGACCACCGAAAATACACTCAATTCGTTGCGTTCAGAGTTACCGAGATATTGGAGCTTTCTTCAATAAAAGAGTGGAATTGGTTACCCAGCAAACAAAATGTTGCTGATGATGCAACAAAATGGTCAAAAGTTCCGGTAATTTCCAGTTCCTGCAGGTGGTTTAGTGGACCTGATTTTCTTTTCCAACCTGAAGAGGAATGGCCCAAAACAGTGGTCCAACCTATTTCAACAGAGGAGGAAAGTATACACCATGTACACCAAGTAACAAAGATAGAAATGTTTATTAATGTAGAACGTTTCTCAAAATGGACACGTATTGTCAGAACGGTGGCATATGTTCTGCGCTTTATTAACAACTGCCGTAAAACTTTTAAACATAAAAATGAATTAACTCAAGATGAGATTTTAAGTGCTCAATATTTACTATATAAGGCAGCACAGAATGAAAGATATTCTGCAGAAATTTCAGCACTCAAATCAAATATCCCCATATCAAGGTCAAGCGATATTTATTGTAAGTCACCCTACTTAGAAGATGAAATTTTGCGTGTATATGGGAGAATCGACATGGCAGATGTGTCCCCGGAACAAAAACGACCTGTTATAATGCCGAGAGACAGTTATTTAACCAAATTGATTTTGCTTCACTACCATCAGAAATTTTACCACAGTAACCACGAAACCGTAATAAATGAACTACGGCAAAAATTTTCTATATCGAGACTTCGCGCAATTTATAAATCGACGATTCGCTCGTGCCAAATGTGCAAAATTACAAAGGCTGTTCCTCAAAACCCTCAAATGGCAAAGTTGCCTCGTGCTCGAATAGCTTCATACGCGGCACCGTTTACGTATACTGGTGTAGACTTTTTTGGACCAATCCTGGTCACCGTAAATCGCCACAAAGAAAAACGCTATGGGTGTCTATTTACATGTTTGACAATAAGGGCCGTACATATTGAGATTGCACATTCTCTAACGACGAGTTCCTGCATTTCGGCCATACGCAATTTTATGGCGCGTAGAGGAATCCCACATGAATTCTACAGCGATAATGGGACGAATTTCGTCGGTGCAGAAAGAGAGCTACGAGAGGCCTTAATCGACGTTGATCGAAACGAGTTCGTGAAAACTTTCACTAGCACTACGACAGAATGGACATTCAATCCACCTGCGTCACCCCACATGGGCGGAGCCTGGGAGCGTTTAGTACGCTCGGTGAAAACGATTTTATATAAAATTATGCCGTCGAGAAACCCTACCGATGAACTTCTACTGAGCATGTTATTAGAAGTAGAAAACATAATTAATTCGAGACCGCTTGCATATGTTCCTATTGCGGAAGATACTGATGAAGCTGTAACTCCGAATCATTTTTTAGTAGGAAGTTCCAATGGGCTTAAACCGATGACTACGTGCAACGACAGTGGGACATTATTGAGACAAAATTGGCTGATTTCACAACAATATGCGAATATATTTTGGAAGAAGTGGCTAATGGAATACCTACCGTCGTTAACATGTAGAACAAAATGGCACGAAAAATCTAAACCTTTAAGTCAGGGGGACCTAGTGATCATTGTTGACCCTTCACTTCCACGAAACGTTTGGCTGCGAGGCAAGGTACTGGAAACAAGATTGGCAAGTGACGGGCAGGTCCGCAGTGCAAAGGTGTTAACACAACGTGGTATAATGGACCGTCCAGTAACGAAGTTGGCTATTTTGGATGTAGCTCCTCAACAGAAGTCTGACATCGAAGAAGCTTCTTGCCATACTGCGGGGGGAATGTTAACGCGACTTCCAAAATCCCCATGATTTATGTATATAAGATCTGGCAACTCTAAAAATATTGATAGTCGATAACTTTATTTATTGTCAACTTCTAATTTTTGTTAACGAAACTTTGTAAATGTCAAGTAGCGTGGGTAAATCTTCGCCATTTTTCCTATAAACTACTAAAAGCAAATTGGCTTATACGCGGTGTCTTTGGAGATATCATATACATATATAATTCGAGGAAAAAATTCTAGTGGTTTCCAAACCAAAAGTAGGTTCAATTTAAAATAATTATCCTTAAAATTGTTACAGTATTTCTTTACAAATAGGAATTTTAATAAACACACACTTGTTGGATTAAATCAAGTCTTTTTTGAAGCTGGTGTGTTTTATTCAAAATCCAGTGGAAGCCATTAGCTCCGGCCTACCTGCCTTCTCAACATAAGTGTTATTAAATCTTTCAATATGAAGTGTGATCTTGATAACTGCCAAATTAAAAGCGAATCTGAACGCTACTTATCGTGCTGGCTCTGTGACGGTATTAGCCATCTAAAATGTGCTGGTTTGACAGGAAGAATTCTGGACGCTATTAATGATGGCAAAGGTCTTCGCTGGTCTTGCTTAAAGTGCAGGTCAACCGAAGTTGATCTCTTTAAGTTGTTTAGGCAAACCAGAAATGGGTTTTCTGAGGTAGGGAGAGAGTTGTCGGTACTGACGTAAAATTTAAACATTACGAAAATGTATTTAAATCTTTTAAATGCTTAGATACCGTACAATCTATGAAGGACATTCGTGTGTCTAAACGTAAGCGTCTTCATAGTCCGCCTAATGAAAGGACCGTTCCACGTCAGAACACTCTTCCGAATGACTTAATTAACCTTTCTTCTCCATGTCCACAGACAACGGAGTTATCTTCCTCAAAAGAACATATATCAAAGTCTGCTTCTAATAATAACGACCCTGCAGTATCTTCCCCGTCCCCCGTTGAAGTTGTGGCACCGCCATCCAATCTTCCAACGCTTACTCTACCCTCAACTAGTAACTCAGTTACTCAACCCCGTCCGCCGGTAATCGAGTCTGATACTAGGAGACTGGTTGTGGTTCCCCCAAAGAAGTCTATATTTGTATCTAGATTTTCGAGGGATACTTCCGAGGACGATATAAAGTTTTACATCTCGTCCAAAGTTAAAACTGTCAACTTAAGTATCAGAAAATTTAATTTTAAATATGAAAGAAATATTTCTTCATTTAAAATAGACGTAAATTTAGAAAATTTTGACATGCTGCTTAGTAGTTCTTTTTGGCCCTCCGGAGCTTTCGTTCGTGAATTTGAGTATAGGCCCAACAAAAATAATAATTTAGCAAATATTCCCCGTCAGAATACAGAACCAAAAAACTGATTACTAAATCTGCTTTAAGTATTTATTATCAAATACTAAATTAACGAATTTATATCTTAATGGCCTTGAATGCAATTATAATATAATTTCTTTGACTGAAACTTGGCTCAAACCTCACACTTTTAATTCAGAGATTCTTTCAAATAATTATCATATCTACAGAAAAGATCGGGAGGACAGAGTCGGCGGTGGCGTACTCTTTGCCGTAGACTCTTCAATACCATCTGAAGAAGTTAGTCTTCCACACATTGAATCTGCAGAATTCAAATGCATTCGTGTTCAGGTTGGAAGGGGGTTTACTTACTTAGCTCTATGCTATATTCCTCCCCGATCTGACTTATCAGTGTATTCACAACATGTATCTTTACTGAAATCAATTAATTCAATGATTAAACCCTCTGATTCATTGATTGTGTTGGGTGACTTTAATTTACCAAATGTATCATGGAACATCATTGACAATGATATTGTACCTTTCTCGTCTAGCGCGTGCAACAACGTATTTTTAGAGGAGATGGCAGAACTCTGTCTGAATCAAGTTAATGTACTTCGCAATAAGTTTGGCAAAGTGTTAGATCTTGTTTATGTTGATGATGCATCTAAGTCGGCTGTAAATAAATGTGACCCACTAGTTTTGCCCGAAGATGTCTACCACCCTGCTATTGAGATATCTTACGAAATTATAAACGATGGTCAAAATTGCGATGTCCAAACATACGAACCAAATATTCGCTTTGATTTTTCGAAAGCCAACTTTAAAAAACTGAATATAGAATTGTCTAAATTGTCGTGGCCCATATACAAAGAAAAAGTTGAGCAAAGCGTTGCACATTTTAATTGTACTGTACATAGATTATTTGAAAAGTATGTGCCTCAACGCATGTGTGTTCCTGAAGAACAAACACAGTTATGGTTCACTAAAGAACTGAGAAACTTGAAAAACAGAAAGTCACGTTATTTTAGATTACACAAAAAAACCGGCTTACACTCATACTATGTAAAATACTCACTTTTGCGTCACAAGTTCTTTGAATTAAACAAAAAGTGTTATAAAGATTACTTGTGTAAAATCAAACGACGTATAATATATAACCCCAAATCATTTTATGATTTCGTAAACTCCAAGCGAAATGTACGGGGGTTTCCTTCCGCCATGAAGTATCAAAATACCGTCTCTGGTGATAATCAAACAATTTCTAACATGTTCGCTCAGTTTTTTAAATCCAATTATTCCACTAACTCCCAAGCATACTTTGACTATCCTTTTAAACTAAGTCCAATTAACTCAATACATAACCCTATAATATCTCCCGATGATGTTTTAGTTTACCTGAAGTCCTTAAAGCAGTCTTTTAGTTATGGTCCTGACCAGATTCCCACTTGTTTTCTTAGAAATTGTGCTGATTATCTCTATGAGCCGTTAACAGCCTTATTTAATTTGTCTCTTAAAGAGGGCGTTTTTCCAACTGTATGGAAGGAATCGTTCATAACCCCCTTACATAAAAGCGGTAGCAGGTCTTCAGTGGAGAACTACCGGGGCATAGCTAAGCTTTCTGCAATTCCTAAATTATTTGAAGCAATTATAACAAATCGGTTGACGCATTCTATCACTTCAAGCATTTCATACAGTCAACATGGATTTTGCAAGGGCAAATCAACTTCTACAAATTTACTTGAATTAACATCCTATATCTCAAAAGCATTTAGTGAGAGCAAAACTGTTGATGTTATATATACTGATTTCAGTAAAGCATTTGACAAAGTGTGCCACTCGTTGCTCATCTATAAACTTGATCTTCTTGGTCTTCCACCTAATTTTCTACGTTGGATCTCTTCATACCTCTATGATAGATCACAAAGGGTATTGTTTAAAAATACTATCTCTGACGTCATTGATGTTACTTCAGGAGTCCCTCAGGGTAGCCACCTAGGCCCGATTCTGTTCTTGCTTTTTATAAACGATATTTCTACAGAAATAAAATTCTCTAAAATTTTAATGTATGCAGATGATGTAAAACTTTATAAATCGTACGTTTCAATTGAAGAAAGGTCTTTGCTACAATCAGACTTAAACAGCATGGCTTACTAGTGTGAAGTAAATTTTATGCCTCTAAACCTTAAGAAATGTAAAGTAATGTGCTTCTCGCGAAGAGCAGTTCTGCCAGTTTCTTATATAATAGGTAACCATAATCTGGAACAGGTATACAATTTTGTGGAAATTGGTATCACAATGGATCCTAAGCTTAATTTTAATCTTCACATTAATGTGACAGTCAACAAGGCTAAAGGTGTACTTGCATTTGTGAAACGATGGTCAAAAGAATTTAGTGACCCTTATATCACTAAAACCCTGTTTACAACATTAGTTAGGCCGATTCTGGAATACGGCTCGGTGGTTTGGAATCCAAGGTATCAAATTTACTCAGACAAGATAGAATCAATTCAAAAACAATTCCTACTTTTTGCTTTAAGAAATTTCCGATGGGATTCTCAATATAGTCTTCCACCTTATACGAGTCTCTTAAAACTTATTAACCTTCCTACACTTGCCAGTCGCAGGGAAATGCTTGGTATAATTTTTATGGTTAAATTACTGACAGGCTCAATTTCAAGTCCGTCTCTTCTGGCTGATGTAAGCTTTAATGTTCCCTCACGCGTATCAAGACACTTTTGTCCCATATTTCTGAAAGCTTGTAAAACCCATTTTGAATTGCACGACCCACTCCGTTGCTTATGCCAGGATTTTAACTCTCATTCCAGCACGTTTGATATATCAGATCCGCTTTTCAGCATTAAGAAACCGATACTCTCCTCTCTCAATAAGTGAATTATTGACATAAATACATAAAATCAGCTGATGAATTTAGTTCTGTAGCTGAACAGTTTTAGATCTCGACACTTAACAAACTCCTGCCTATCGTGACTCGGCACCAAAAAAATTTAAAATATTGGTTCCGTACGTCATGCGGACTGCGCCCCTCGTGCGGATGGGCGGGAATGGAGGGTAAAAACCGTTGGGATATTATTATTATTATTAATTGTGTTTATTTGTAGCAGCGGAACACAAAGCGATGGCGTTTTAAATATAGTGCATAAATTTGCCAGTGCTCCAGCAGCAGCAACTGCAACCAAAAATTTGCCAGCGCTCAAGCAGCAGCAACTGCAACTACAAATACAACAAGGCCCCCACCAAGTGGTCCACCGCGATAGCAAGTTCGCAACAACAAGGCCCCCATCAAGTGGTCCACCCTGATAGCAAATTCGCAACAACAAGGCCCCCCGCCCCCACCAAGTGGTCCACCGCGATAGCAAGTTCGCAACAACAAGGCCCCTTCGCAACAACAAGGACCCTTTCGAAGTACGCTTTTCTCGGCGTTGG